AGCTTCTGCACTGACACAGCTGGCAGCTGCAGTCCTTGTCCTCCTTCCTAACAGCTGGGGGACAAAACAAATGGTTTCCTTCCCCACGTTCCTCCCTGGAGCTGGTGTAGCACTGGCTGTGCTGAGTGCCGGCCTGGTGCTGCTTTGTCTCCTCAGGGAGGCCCAGGCACCAGTATTTTCACAATTGATTTAATCCCTGGTAATAAAGAAATGCCTGACATGACTCCTTTTGTTAATTTTTAAATTGAAATTGCTGTTTTTATAGGTCAGAATGGCTGAATACCCACAATTTCATATGGTTCAAAGTAAGTAAAATGTTCCTGTTCCTCTGCTGTTCCTCAGTAGATGGCCCACCACCTCAGCCTTGCCCATTGTCCACTGTCCATCACACCCTGGGCTGTCCAGGTGGGTTCAGCTAACCCCTTTGGGCTGGGCTACAGGCTGTCAGAAAAGGTCTCTCAGGCTTCCCCGAGTTCTGGCAAGAAAAGCTCCAGCGACTTGTGCAAACATCTCTCAGGGCCATGTCCAGAATATTTATGCCCCTTTATTGTTTTCCTATTACTTGGCAGTCTAAGATAATGAAAAGAAATCTAGACAGTCCCAAAGCTTTGAAATCACATAAACCAGGCTCTAAAAAATAAGCCAAGCCTATCTCAGAAAGAAGACATATGAGTTTGTAACACAAACCCATTCACCGCTGCTTGCCATTATCTAACCATTTACTTTTCTTTTAATTTAATTTAAGCCTGGGTTGCTCTCTTTCATTTTCAGACAGAAATGGCTGCTTCCACCAAATTCAGGGCCATCCCATCTCCTGGGCTTCCTGGGAACGGTGTCTCAGAGACACCGTAGCGATGAAGGATGACTGGCCTTGGCCAACGAAGACTCCATCCATTCCCTCCTTGGCCAAGAGGGGAGTTGGCACAAAGTGTGTGCTTTCAACGGGAACTGTTGGAGCCACCAAGGGAGGAGACCAGGGGATTAGGTACTGCGTAAGGAAGAAGGGGCATGCTGCAATTGGGGCGCAGGCACCCCCCTCACTGAGGAAGGTGCCTTTGACTGCACAAAGCAAACCTTCTGGAATCAGGGTGAGCCCAGCACTTGGCCCAAAGGGGCAACTGGTCCAACTCACCATTTACAGAAGAAGACCTTCCCTGAGAACCAGGGATATTCAGAGCCACTAAGATCCTGTCTTATTAACCTCAGTCTCGCTTTTCCCTTTGGTTGAAGTGGAAAGCCCATAAGTGAGGAGACGGCAGCTCACACCGGGTAGTGAAGTTTCCTCAACCTAATCAGAACATCTACATGTTCAGCCTCTTCCTCAAAAACGAAACCCAACTATATTGTCCTTTACTTTTCCATCTTGACTATTAAATCTTCCAGTAGAAATATATAAAAATAAATTTAACCAAAAATGTTAAGTGTCCAGCCCTTCTCACACCGGTTTAAAATAAATACCCCTTTCACTACCATGCTCATGGAGACCTCAGATAGTTCCAGAACAAATGGGCCAAAAGCCCCCTTGAAGTGGGGGAGAGATGGTGTCCCAGCAATGCACAGACTCAGAACCATGAGACACTCACCCATAGTGAGACCAGCAGGGGGCACCCCGCACCCACAAGCTGCCAACTAGCTGGGTGCTGCAGCCTCCTTCACTCAGGCTCCTGGGCAGAGGGGATTTAGATGCTGACAAAGTGACAGGCACTCCAGGAGCTCTCAGGTGCTCTGACAGCAGACATGAAACCACATGGACAGCAGCAACCACAAACACACATCCATCTTCACCAGTCACCTTTCCCCCAAGGAGCACAAATTCGCACAACGCCGCAAGGAGCCCGGAAGGCTGGCATTGATGTGCTCAGTCAGTAAGAGGAGGCCCTTCCCCACCGTGCTGAGACTGTCCAGCCATGCCCCTGCCAGCTTCTTCTAAGCCCCTCAGGAGAGGAGGCTGGTTGGCACAGGTGGCCACCTTGGGATGCTGAGGGAGGGCCACCTGGAAGGGCAACTTGAAACTGCCCCACACTGAGTCCTCATGCCCCATCGCAAACCCCTCCTACAGTTTACAGCCACTTGATATACACCCCACCCCACATACACAAATGGCCACTAGAGACCCCCAGCTTCCCCCAATAATATTGAGAAAATGCCAATTAGCATTAGCCAGGTGGATGCTGCTGATGGTGGGGAGGAGGGTTGGGAGAAGACCATGGCAAGGACACATTGCATTGTTTATTCATTATCTTGCTCAGTGTCTGGCTCATGCCCAATGAATGACTGAATGAACAAACGAAGGCAGAAATCTCTGGGGAAAACTGTTCCCAAGGCAGAGTCCCAGACCAGGACCCTTCGATCACGCAAGTTTCCTGTGGACCCCCAACTCTTTCCACGGTGCTGCTGGGAAGCATTCTCTTTGCTCTGTTGAAGCCTCAGAGTCAGCCAGGAGAGACCCACTTATTTTAACAGGCATCCTCCTCTAACAGCAAAGTGCCTCTGGGAAGGGTGGCATTCAGCACCTGGTGAGATCAGGAGTTCTCCACTTTGGCAACACTGATGTTTGGAGTCAGATCATTCTTTGTCATGGGCTGTGCATTGCAGGACATTTAGAGCATCCCTGTATCACTCTCTCCCCAAGTTGTGACAATCAAAAACGCCTCCCAACATTGTTACATATCCCCAAAGGGGCAAAATCGCCCCTGGTTGGCAACCATGAGTGTAAATCAGATTGCTCTCCCAGTACGGTATCAAGAGAAGTGGCATTTTTAAAATGGAATTGGGGAGGAGAAGTAGGTAGTGAGGAGGCAAGAAGCCTGGTGGGGGGCACATTCCTGGACAGAGAAGAGGACTGCAAGCGAACATGTGGCCACAGTGTTACCTAGATTTGTATCTGTGTCCAGGAGAGAAGTCAGGTTTCTTCCTCACCCTCTCTCTTCCCTCTCTGGACTATAAACTAGGCTAATAGTCTGAGTCATGAAATGGAGCTCCAGTCTAGGCCTGAATTGTCTCTGGTCACTGTGTAAAAATACATCTCAAGTTTGTAAAATGTTGAACAGAGCCCATTGCTAAGCTGTGCAATATCCACATTCCCATTTTATTGAGGAGAAAGATCCAGCCCTTGAGAAGCAACAGCACCCGTACTAGGTCACTCAAAGAAAAGAAAAAATAGCTTAGTAGTAGCAAAGGAACTCAACCCTATGCTGTGCACAGCCTGCAGCTCTACAACCAGAGCTCAGAACGAGGATCAAGCTCTCAGGGGCAAAACCTTTAAGTGCTGATTAACAAAATCAGGCACAGACAGTGGTCAAGATCTCTGCGGACACAATCACTGCTATTGATTGTCTTCACTCACTATGCAGTGTGGAGCCCTGAAGGAACTTCTGAAAGTCACTTAATTACCTTCTCAATTTCAAGAAAGGGAGGCCTTGCTGCCCAGCAGCCCCTGAGCAGGGTGGACACAGGCAAACTGCTTCCCTGGGAGAGGGGATCCACAAGAACCCACTTCCCAACGAAAGAGAAGACACACTCCAAGTAAAAACACATCTGGATTTTGCTTTTCTGCCTTTGTAAAACTGTCTTCCTGCCATGCCTCTTTGCTAGTATAAGAGCATGTGTGTGCCCGTCCCATCACTTGACTGGCAGGGGAGCTCCCAGTCTGGGGTAGCGGGGTGGCTCATGGACCCTAATGGGGACCTGGGGAGATGAAGGAAGGAGACAGCAGAGGACAAGGGAAAGCAAGGGGAGAAAAGGGTTCTTTCTCAGGACTGATCCTGGCAGCCCCTCTGGCATCCCGTCTCATCTCTGGTTCTGAGAGGTGGCACACAGCCGCCCTATCTCTTCCCTCTCCCTCTGCCTGTTGTGGACACAGAATACTCAGCAAACCTCAGTTTCTTCCATGTCCACGGGGACAGCAGAGCTGATGGCTCACTGAGCAACTCTGCAGCCCCAATGAAGCATGACCCTGCCCTCCTGAGGGGTCCCAGGGGCCCTGGGCCCAGCTGCCACTCCACCATGCCCGCCAGGATGGCTGCACCCCTACACTCACGATGGCCTCCCTAAGCCGGTTACCAGACAGCCCTGGTCCTGACACACACACTCTGAGGGGCTGAGTATCATGAGGGGATTCTGCCTCCTTTGCCCACCACCAAAGCCAAGAATTATAATTGCCTAAACTCACCATTCCCAAGCCTTTCACTGAAAGCGACTAGAACCACAGATTATAAAACCAGCTCAGAACAGAAAGTTCCAATGGCCCTTGGTCTCCCAGGTAAAGATCACAGAGCAGTTCAGCTGAATATTAGAGTTTTATTTTCTAGAAAAGGAGGATGATTCGGGGCAAAAAGTAGCTAGAAACCTTAAATGACCAACCTGAAGAGCCCTACTCTTCTGTTCTGCTGTTCTGTGAGCCCCCTACACAACCCAACCCCCTCTGATCCACCTGAGGAGACCCCAAGCCTCTGCTGTCCCACTGCTGCCCTTCTAGCTTGCCCACATCCACGGCACTGCTGAACCGCCTCAGCGACTTAGGGATGCAGGTAGTGATGCACGAGCATGTTATTGATCACTGGAACATCTCCTAGACCATATTTAACAACAGGTCTCTACATAACAGCATGGATGGATTTCACAAGTACAACGTTGACTGAAAGAAGCCAGACACAAAATAGCACCTACTGTGTGATTCTATTGTTATAAAGTTCAAAAGCAGTTGAAACTAATCTGCACTGACAGCCATCTAGACAGGGGCTGGTCATGTCTCTTTCCTGACTGGGTACTGGATACACAGGTGTGTTCAGTTTGTGAGAATTCACAGCTGAACACTCAAGATGCGTGTACTTTTCCCTAAGTACATTAACCTTCAATAGAGAGTTTTCAATACCTCTGAACCACAGTGGGCTGACATGAGAGGCTGTTCTGCTTTGTGGCCCTTGCCAGCACCCAGCCTCACTTTTGGAGCCCAAGACAGAGGCCTGGGCAGCACCCAAGGGGCCCAGGCCCACACTTACCGGCTGCAGCCCGTCCTCCTGCCTCCTGCTCTGACTCGGGCGGTTGATGAAGGACCGTGTGGAGACTTTGTAGTGATTCAGCAGGCAGACGATGACCACGACCATCACTGTAACCACCACGATGATGATGATGATTTGGGCAAACTCCAGCTCCGCTGCGATGGAAGAGGAAAGCATATTAGCCACATGTCCCCTTGTGCCATAACCCAGTTCTCCAGACACCCATCTTCTTGAGGCACTCCGATCATTACAACTGTAAGCCACTGAAGGCCTCTCGCATGAATCTGGTCCTCACAAGGACCTCATGAGAGAAACTATTTTTCCTCAGGCCTGCTGCCCAAAGCCACTGCCAGACTTTGACATTCTAATAACATCCAAGAAAAGGAGAGCCAGGCATGGGGCTCTTTCCCACAGACCTCTGGTGTTCAGCCTAACCTTAGTGCTCAGACAAACCTTGCCTTGGCAATTTTATAGGAAAATGTATTCCGTGGGCTCTACACGACCTCTAGAGGTACTCTTCCATAACTGACCCCATTTCACACACAGAACTCAAAGTCCAGCCCAGTGTGCACGCCACAAACTGGCCACCTCACGGGCTACCCCTTCCCACTGGGCAGGCAGGCCCTTGAGTGCTACCTCTTGGAATATGAAAAGCTCAGTGCTCTCCATCCCCTGAACTCTGTTCCCACCAGATAACATCCTCCATAACCCCCACCTCCAGAGGAGTTAAGAAAGTCTCTCAAAGCTGACGTTGTTTTTCCTAGTGTAATCTCTCTAGGAAAGTTAAAGCCATCTTTATGGTTGAGTCAAGTTTATCAAAGCACATCCGCATGGGATCCACATAACACACTGAAGGGAAAATATGCATGCTGATAAAAAGCTCTAACCTCCCTTCCTCAAAGGCTTTGCCTTTGCAAGTAATTTAGGAAACTCATCTCCACTGTCTCCAACCCTGAGGGCTGGAGACCCATAAAACCATATTTTATGAATAGTCAGGTCACCACTGAGTTTCCCAACACTGCCATTACAAAAGATTTTCTAAGTGCCATTAACACACACTTCACACACGAGTACGGTACCATGGAGCAACTTCTAGAATAACAGCATGTTGAGTTAGCAATTAGAGGTAGGTTATTCAAGCCCTCCCGTTTTGCAGGGACGAAACTGAGGCTCAAGGCTCAAGGTCAGCCCTAGAACCCAGACCTTCTGCTTTCTGGCTTCCAGCTCAAGGCTCTGCTGAGTGTTGCTCACCTGTTTTTCTCTGAGTCTCACCACACACAGAAAAGAAGTGATTGTGCAGGGGCGTCAATTTAAAGAGCAAGAGAATCTGGGAGAAGGGGAGGAAGACAGTGCACAACTTTGTTGTGAGGCGGGGAGGTGTGGGGTATAATGAAGGGCAAGAGAAAGAGGGAAGAGTTGTATCAATTGCGGTACTGCCTCGAACTTGCAACACACACACATGTGCACACAGAGACACACATGGACACACGTGCATACAAACACACGTGCATGGACACATACGGGCATGATAGATTCGTGCACATATATACACACACTCAAGCGCACATGCAGAGAAATACACACATGCATGGATACACATACACACAAGGCACACACACACATAGGTATGCAAACACACACGTGCACACATGCATGCACATGCATACACACACAGAACACATACATACATGCACACTCTCAAGTGTATGGGCTCATACTCAGGATGATGCAGGAAGAGACTGGGTAGCATCCTTCCCCCAAGGGCAGTTGAGCGCCCCTGCCATCTACACCTTGGGAACAGAGGAGCAGTGGCTGGGACGGGGATAAATGGAGGGTCTTCCTGGATCCCATCATGTCCTGTCCTGTGGCACTGCTCTCCACTCTTGCCCTCAGCACCCCCACACCTGAGGGACAAAGATTTACAAATGTGCCTGTTGGACTGGGCTGGACTGTGCTTGGCACTGGGCCTGTAGGGGGACTGGCCCAGAGGTGTGCCTTGGAGAATGGAGGCTGGGTGTGAGGGAACTGAACTGCTGAGCCCCACATGGTGAGTGGTTGGGGCCAGGTAGGTTTGCCAGGCGCATCCCTCGCTGGCAGTAAAAGGGCAGATCCCAGTGGGCATGGCTGACTAAGGAGGCTTAGGAGACAATGCCCCCAAGCAGCTCGAGAGGCTGGTGGTCAGCAAGGCCCAGGTGCTGGGCTCCCCACCCCACCACACCCTGCATAGCTGTCATTGTGCTGAATACCCCCTCTGATACCTAATGGCTGATCAGCAGGGCCTCCAGGGGGCCTGGGTGCCCAGGTCAGCCCCAGGAGCTTGTCTGAGCATCTACTTCCTGTGGGAAGGAAGCCACCAAATTTATGTACACTCGAAGTCCTCCCAGGGACTATCAGAAATCTTCATGGTGAGAATCTCCTGGAAAAGACTGAAATTACTCCCAGTCAGAGAGGGCATAGGCTGGGACCTTTGCAACTGGAGTACAGATATAAATGTGATCTCTATCCTCACAAGTGGTGGAATATGTGACATGTTAACCCAGAAAAACTATCTTCATGACTCTTTGCCTTGGCACGTAACCTTCTCATGTCCAGAAGACACTGTGTCTTTTGGTGCCCATGTAACAAGGCACCCATGTGAAGCCTCCCTGGCCATGGGGCTGGATCCCTTGTTTCATCATTTATGACATGAGATGTGACTGTGTTTTTTCAGTCTGTCTCTCACATGAAACTATGATCAGGAACTTACTTTTACTTATTTTGTATTCTTGGTGTCAGGCATGGGGTGGTGCCTGGTATGTAGTTAAGTGGATTCATCAGTAAGAGGTGAATCAATGAATGACACTGGAGCGCACACACCGCAGCCAAGAGAGGGTTCGGGGACGCATGGCTCCAGGTGCACTCTCCCGACCTGCACAGGTGTGCTCCCTGCAAGGACAGCTACTGCTGACAGCACTGAGGCCTACACTGGCTGCAAAGCACAAGAAGTGCATCTCAGAGGAACTGGGAGAATGTGCAGAGGGGCGAGCCACCAACCCAAGGACCATCACCCCAGTGACGAGCAGACAAGGAAGCAGGGACTTAATTCTGCTTAGGTTAAAGGTGGCCAATGTAGCATGAAGACTGAATCCAAAATAATGCCTTGTTTTACCAACTCTTATTTTGATTTTGTGGATGAATAGCAGAGTGCTCATAAATTGCCTTTCAGGTTAAATCATGCCCTGGAACTGACAAATGTTTTTTTTTCTCAAGAAAACTTAATTGATTTATGGACATGGAACTAGAGGAAAGTGATGATTACAGTGAGGAGTTCTGCACAGTCTTCGTGGGTTAATCTTCTTTACTTGCAGGATGTCTTTCTAGGTCATCTTTTCTTGAATATGGAAAACTATGCAGATAAACATTTGTAGCAAAGCAATCAAATTACATTTTCATAATTCTATGGACATTCTTGGGTATATTTGTGTTTCATTTGAAAAGAATGTTTATTATAAAAATAATGAAGACTTCTTCAAACAATATAGAAGGAAATGGTGTACAATTTAAAAGTTCCCCTTTAGAGGCCTGCAGCACTCTCCGACCCCCCACTCAACCTACGCTGTCCTGGTGGGGAGCACAGTTCACCCATTGTGTGGATCTGTGCATTTGAATAAGGGCTTTCTTCTTTTTAATGAATGGAATCATTGTACAAATATATTATTCTGCTTTTTTTCACTTAATACATCAGAGACATCTTTAAACAAGAATATACATAAACTGAACTCATTCTTTATAGTGGCTATCTATTCCAGAATACGGATATACTGGAACTTACAATCTCCAAGTGATGGATATTTAGGGTGTTTTTTTTTTTTTCTTTTTTCTATTAAGACCAAAAGATTGTGAGGGCCGGCCCCGTGGCTTAGTGGTTAAGTGCGCACGCTCCGCTACTGGCGGCCCAGGTTCAGATCCCAGGCGTGCACCGACGCACTGCTTCTCCGGCCATGCTGAGGCCGCGTCCCACATACAGCAACGAGAAGGATGTGCAACTATGACATACAACTATCTACTGGGGCTTTGGGGAAAAAAAAAAAAGGAGGAGGATTGGCAATAGATGTTAGCTCAGAGCCGGCCTTCCTCAGCAAAAAAGAGGAGGATTCAGCATGTATGTTAGCTCAGGGCTGATTTTCCTCACACACAAAAAAAAAACAACAAAAAACAAAACCAAAAGATTGTGTGTGTGTGTGTGTATGCAAGTGTGAGTGTGTGTGCTGGCTCACATTTGTAAGTATCTCTATAGGAAAGATGCCTAAAATTGAAATTTCTGGGCAAGCATATACCCTTTTAAATTCTGATGGCTACTGAGAGTCTGCCTTCTGAAAAGAGTCTTGCCAAGGAGAGGGCATGCTCCCCTACACTCTCATTAACACTGGACACTCACCCTTTTCATTCATACTAATCTGATGAGCGAAAATATGTATCTTGTTTTAATTTGTATCTCTCCAATTACCAGTAATTTTAGATCTTTCCTATGGTTATTGGTAATTGGTAATTTTCATAACCATATTAGTTCACTTTAGTTTATTTGTAGTTTCCTCATTTCTTATTTATTTGTAAGTAGTCTTTACATATTGTGGCTACAAATCTTTGTCTCTTACATGTGCTGCAAATATTTTCTCCTAGTCTGTCACTTCTTTAAACTTTGCTGTGAGTTTCTCTATAGAAGATATAAATTTTTGTGTCATCAAATACTGTCTATCTTTTTCCTTTATGGCTTCTAAGCTTCCTGTTTGATTAGGAAGGTGTTCTCCAATATTCTAAAAATATTTTTTCTTCTAAGATTTTTATAGTTTGTATTTTTATGTTTAGATCTTTATTTGCTCTAGATTTCTATTTCTTTTGGTCTGAGATAGCACATAAAACATTTTGTACTGTCTGAAAGGCATGAATCTTCTGCTCTAACATCATATTAAAAAGTTCATCACAAGCAAGGGTAAGAAAGATCTCGGTTGTGGGAAACAGTGTATAGAGTCCCCACCATCTTTGTTTTAAAGGGGACTACTTGCTCTGAGGCTGTGCTTCCCCAGCTTTCTTGCCAACATGCCATGCGTGCTGGGCCCTGCCATACCCCTGTGCACCTGGAAGGCCCACCTCACCCCTCATGTATCCAAACTTGCTG